GATTGGGATTCCTGGTAGACTGCACATCCTTTCAAGGTTAGCCCCAACATTGTCTGTGGCTTTTTTTTCTGCATAAGGGAACCTCTTCTCATCAAAGACTACATCTCTTGTAATGATTACTCTTCTATTTGGCAGCAAGACTTTATATCCCTTGTATTGGTTGCTGTAGCCCAGAAAGACTCCTGCACATGACCTGTAGTCCATTTTGTGCTTGTTGTAGGGTCTAAGGTGTGGATAACATAAGCACCCAAACACTTTAAGTCTCTTGTAATCTGGCTTCACACCATAAAGGATATCAAGTGGTATTTTGAAGTTCAAAGGTCTGGTGGGAATTCTATTGAGCAGATATGTTGATGTGATGAAAGCATCTCCCCAATAGCATAAAGGCAAGTGTGACTGAGCAAGAAGTGACAACCCCATGTTAACTATATCTCTGTGTTTCCTCTCAGCCAAACCATTTTGCTGAGGTGTATAAGCACAAGAAACTCTGTGCATAATGCCATTTTCCTGAAACAACTTGGATAATGCTTGATACTCTCCTCCTCCATCACTCTGAAAAGATTTGATTTTTTTCCCTAATTGATTTTCAACTAGAGCCTTAAAGTTCACAAAAGCACTGTGCACATCTGACTTTGCTTTCAACAAATAAATCCAGATGAACCTCGAATAATCATCTATAAAGCTAACATAATAAGCATAACCATTCAAAGATTTCACATGACAAGGGCCCCATACATCACTGTGAATGAACTCAAGTGGATAAAAACTTTTGTGTTGAGAATGATCAAAGGGTAAACAGTGGCTTTTAGCCATAATGCATGATCCACAAATATTATTTTCACCATCTGACTCATAGTTTAGGTTACATAACCTTAAAGCCCTTTTAACATTGTCATAATTGGCATGTCCCAGCCTTTGGTGCCACAGCTCTAGACTATTACATTTGTTTAGAGCAGAAAAATAAGAAAAGGGATGAGTCTTCAAAAGTTGTGAATTCTCTTCAGCTGGTACTTCATTCTCTTCTTTCTTCAAGCATTGCAGCTTGAATTGATAAAGTCCCTCTTTAAGAACCCCCTTGAGCAGGACCTCTTGAGTTTGTTGGTCCTTAACAAAGCAGACATTTGGATGAAACTCAAAGTACACTTTATTATCTTTTGCAAATTGTGATACACTAAGGAGGTTTCTGCTTATCATGGGAACATGCAAAAGATTTCTTAGAATAAACACATTTGAGTGACCAGGATGTTGGATAAGAGAGTTACCAAAGTGGCTGATAGCTGCACCTTCTCCATTTCCCATGAGCAGTTTGCTTCCTCCATTGTATTCTGAAGCTATGTTGAGGTTCTCAAGTTCATTTGTAACATGATTTGAGGCTCTTGAATCTGGATACAAGTTGGTCTCAGACCCTATATCAGAGTAAGTGTTTCCACCAGGCATGTGCACCATGTTAAGAGTGGGATTCCTTCTTGGTGTTTGTTGTCCTTGCCCAGTAGCTTGTTGGTTAGGTTGAGCATCATACCTATACCAACATTTGTCTGCAGTGTGGTTTAAACCATGACAGATTTGGCATTGAGGTCTATTGCCTTGGTTCCTTCCTCTACCTCTGCCTCTATAAGAACCTCTTCCTCTACTACCACCTTGATGTGCATTTCTGTTCCCTTTAAACTGATTGAAGCCTTGGTTGAAGGTCCTTTGAGAATTTTGGGTGACAACATTGGCATATGGTTGAGACCCTTCTGAGTTGACAACAGATCCTTGGTTCATTTCTAACCTTGACTCATAAGTAAGCAACAATGCATGAACTTCAGCAAGTGTGTGAGGAGGAAATCTTGAGGTCACATTAACCACTACTGAGTCATATTCAGAACCCAAGCCAGTAAGAATGTGAAGGATTTGGTTTTGTTCTGAAACTTTCTCACCTGCTATGGCCAGAACATCACAATGGTTCTTGATCCTATTGAGAAATTCCCTCATGGTTAACCCAGCCTTTTTTAGAGTTTGAAGTTTGAGTTTATATTGCATTATTCTTGCAGATGACTGACTAGCAAAATTACTTTCAATGGTTTCCCAAATCTCTTGAGCAGTATTAAGACCAACCATCATGACTAGAATTCCCTCACTTAGAGAGGACATCAACCAGGAAGCTAAGAGCTGATCTTGCCTAACCCAATAAAGATAGTCTGGGTTAATTTGGGACTCACCATTTTTAGAATCTGAGATCAGCTTCTCTGGTTTCTTGGTTTCACCATTGATGTAGCCCTCCACTCCATATCCTCGTATGGCTTTTATAACCTGTTGCTTCCAGATCAGATAGTTAGATTCATCTAACTTAGTTGATATCAGCTGACTATTGGGTTGAACAAGAGATCCCATTGCCGCTGTGTTGGAATCTGGGGTGGCCATGGAGGTAGAAGAAGAAGTGGAGTGGCTCATGGTACAACAAGGATAAAAGAAGAAATAAAAGAAGAAAAATGATAATCAGAGGCAGGTCTAACCTGCTCTGATACCATATTGAAAATACACCATAGCCATTTTCAGATCTAAAACAAGAAATGCAATAAAATGAAGAAGATAGAGATCAATGGAGCACATCTTTCATTTCTCACGTACGCAACGTTCAATAGGTTTTACATGAGCTGAGGGAAAAATATTTATACACACATCAAAGGTGGATCATGTGGACAAGTGTCCTTAATTTGAAATCAATCCTACGGTTCTAATGAATTCAAACTGGGAGTTCGGTTCTTTTCTGCAGCTTTAACTTTGGCAGCTTTTCTTTGTCTGCATGTCCATGCTGGCTCATTGTTTGGTGCATGCTCGACGTGCCTTTTTCTTGACTTAGTCTCATGTTGCATTTCTTCAGCATTGCTAACAAAATGGGGCAAAACTGTTGGAGTATACTGTAAAAGTTGGGCTTTGTGTTAATCAACTATTCCATTTTGAATGAGATGTGTGTTTTTAGTCAAGTGGATGTTCGTAGTTAATTTATTTGTACGAAGATTGTTCATTTATTTTACCGTGTAAATAATATGGTTCCAGGTTTAGACCACTAAGATCATATTATCAGTTCCTTATAAAATATAAATGATGGTTCATAAGCTAGACGAGAATTGAACTCCTTGTCGTGAAATATTGTAGTGTGATCTTCAAATTAGTTGATCTTAGACGAATGGATTACACTATTACATCCCGAATGTATTTAACGAAACCATAAAAGGATAAGAATATTTTATAATGACCAAGTAAATAATCTAGACCTCATTATTTGCGTATTCTTTACCCTTAAGACAATGTACGAGCATATGTTGTCGACACTTACTTATTTGATATATCATGGATGAGACTTATTCTAGTAGGTCTACGTACTCGATATTTAGGTAAGTAATGTCGACTGCATGATGTCCCGTCGATATTGCTTACAATCCCAGGAATGACCGGGTTGATGACGGCCCTGAAATGAGCTCACGAAGGATTATTATGTCAAGCCTGACTCGCGGATTAATTTTCGGTATAATAATTAACGATTTAGTGGTACCAGAGTTTCTCATTCAAGAAGTTGATTAATTATATTGTCACTAATTAAATTAATCAACAAATGTTAAATCTTAAAATTTGGGATGTAAAATCGAGCAATAAATAAAGGGACGAATTAATTGTAATTCGAGTTGAATTAGAAGTGCAATAATATTTCTCTAGTTGAATGATTTATTATTTGAGTACTGAGCAGAGTAGGCTTGGCCCACAGTTGGAATCATGCTTGGTAAGCCCATATTTAACACCTTTTCAGGGTCTCTACTGTAGGCCTATAAATACACCAAGCCTAAAGTCTCCAAACATAAGAATACATATTCACGATTTGTCGTCTCTCTCCTAAGAGATCGGATTTGACTTGTTCTTGAGACATTTTGAGATTTGAGAGCTTGTTCGATCGCTCCACCAAGACCGTTCAGAGAAGATGTTTTGGATAATACAGTAAAAGACCTTTTGGTCTTTTATTCGTATTGTGTACAATACATTTGTAATCTGTAAAGTTTCTAATTAACGGGGTTGTCCTTTCTTCACGAAAATTGAGGATCATCATCACCGAAGACCGACGATCATCATCCTGAACTTGTCAAAATCAGCCGCGCTCAGCCGCACAACACCATGTCCACAGTCGCGCAGTAACGTCACGACGCACGCAGCACCGCGGAGACTTGCTCCCCAGCGCGCGTAGACTTGCAACTCGCATTTTTCTCGTGCAGGCGTTCTCCAGCGGGCGACCTGCGTGCTCCTGAGAGGCCCGCTTTCATCCCAGTGCGATCCACGTGCTTTCACGAGACCCGAGTACGTTGCCAGCGAGACCCACGATCTTCTTACAAGACCCGCGTGCCCAGTTCAACCCGTCCCAGCATTCCAGCGTCCCAGCATGCAACCCGTGTCCCAGTACCCGTCTCGGATCTACCGACAAACAGCGGTCCATTCCGGTTCACCCGCGCATTCAACACCTGGTTCAGGCCCAGTTTGGTTCAGCAGCAGTCCAGGAGTCCGGGTGAGCCCATGACGAGTCTGGGGTGGTTCGACCAAGCCACCGGAGGTCCAAGACGGTCTGACGAGAGGGACGAGTGACCAGAGATGCGAGATAAGAGACACGTCGCGGTATGATGATGGTGAGCGTTCAGACAATCTCCATCAACGAAAATAAAAAAAAAGTCTCAAAGTCGGCAAATTTTTAAACCGTAAGTCTTGAATATGAACTATAAATTAGGTTGCGTTAGGATTTATTTTTAATATATTCAAATGTGCACATGGATGAGGTTCCTCATACAAACCAATAAAAACTTGGAAAATTCCCCCAAAACTAAAATTCCCAATTCATTAACTTTAGAACCCTAGTCCCCAAACTCGTTATTAAATGTGTTTGGATCGAAAGCACAATTGAGCATACGGCTGAAAACATATGAGATTCCTTTATAAAAGAATTTTTTTTTCCAAACGATAAAATTTTATAGATAAAAACACGTATTTACAACGAACGAGTCCGGCTAATAGCAGCCGAAACCAACAGCCAAAAGACCGAACCAAATGAGAGGACATCCCAAAAGGAGCCTACATACCACAGAGACGCACCCACGAGAAAAGAATAAAAACCACACTACACTCCGACA